TTTGCCACATAGAGGACACATGTCTCGCTGCTGTTCTCTTTTAGTTCCTTTTACTATGCTCCTAAGGTCAAGCATGTGCCCAGAGTTGTCCTGCGTGTTCCAAAGTTGGACTATTCCTGAGCCTTTGTGTTCCTGGATGAAGGTCTTGGTTAGCAGTGCCCAGTGAAGGCAAGGCAGAAGCAGTGACTTTGAGTGCTTTCTTCCCTTCCTCCACTCTCAGGGCAGATGTAAAAAACAAAACAAAACAAAAACAGCAAAACAAACCAGAAAAAAACAACAACAGAAACTACTGCTTAATGTTCTGCGTATAACAGAGGTCTAAATGTAGTGTTCTTATTAAATATATCCTTTTGCAGACTAAGGAATATCTGTACCTCAGTTAATTAGTCTGTCAAGACAGACTGTACATCATTATTTATAAACTACGTTGCTTTGGGATGATAATGCTGCTGTAATGCCAATGAAATGAAAAAAGTTGAACAGTGTGTTCATGTAAATATGTATGTATATGAGAGATGAGCTTCTTCCATGTCTCTTTAGTTCAGATACTTCTGATTTTCTATTGGGAGTGCTTACAAAATAAGGAGCTCTGGAGAAAACAGGGATGTTGTTTAATTATTGTCCCTTGCCAGCCCTTTGGAATCTATCTAGGTGTGGAAAATGAAAGAGAAGAAGTTATGGGGGAATTGGGTTGTTTCTGTCACTGGTTAGAGGAAAGGCTACCTCATAAATTACCGTGTGGGCTAATACACGAGCTGTGTGAATCCCTAGACTGATAAAACGTTCACCAGTGTTCTGTTATTTCATACTATATGCTAACAAAAATGAATAAACATGACAATGTCAATGCCATTTCCTAATTCATAGTATAGTCCTTGGCTTCCTGCCTTATACGACTTCGTAACTTGGAGCAAAGAATGTCTTTCATTCTTTATGCTCACCTAGTTTCTTCCAGCTGCTGGAGCTTTTCCAACTCAGGGAGGTACTGCATTCTCCCCATTCCTCTAGCAGATTAATTTCTTCCAGATTCATAGGTTTCAGTGGTTGGAGCGGTGTTGAGCAGCTGGTCTGAACTGTAACTTCAGATGAAGAATTTCCAGACTACTTTTTTTCTGTGACTCTGAAAATGTGAATCAAGTTGCTACTGTATTACAGCATAGCCCAGTTACAAGCAAACAAGTAAGAAGGCATTTTATTTTGCTGACATTGTGTGCGAGTGCACACAAAGATGAAGATCACAGCCTGCATGTTTGTGCAGAGCAGAGAACACTAGAAAGTTGCACGTGGCAAAACTCAAGAATCAAATGTTTACTCACACAGCTTATACTTACTGCACACAGAGCTTATATGCGAAGTACTAGTACTGCAATATGTACAACAATGTATGGGCACAAATAAAAGAGAAGTATTTATTTACTGTGATTCCTGAATAATGTTGCTGTGTTAACAGCTACAGCAATGACATGGAAACAATTCTTCACTTTCATAGCTTAGAAAATGATAAATGGTAACTTAAGGCATTTCCTGATTTGTGGCATTTTAAATGTTAAGACAGTTCATACATAGGCCATGACATTTTGCAAAATACACAACTACAATATATTGAAAATATATTCTACGGCATTTGTTCCGTTCAGCTCTTTGTCTTCTCACATTGTGGTTCCTTTGTTATCTATCTTTCTTTTATTTTCTTTGCTTACTACATGGAAGAATAGTTCCTTTTGCCATCTTAACTTTTTCTTTGTCGATTTAAAAGCATGAATTATTCCTGCTGCAGTTCTTCCTTAAACATTCATTGTACACTAGTATGCTTAGCGGAGATGTGATCACCAGGGCAGTGGATGATTCAGGCATTTACTCACTGAGTCAGCGGTCACAATGAGTAGATTCATATATTTCAGGCATATAAATAAGAGCTGTCACTTGAGTTCACTGAGTTTTGATTTGGGACTTTTGCAAAATTATTTCCAGAATAGTGAAATATTGAGAAGTAGTGTGTGTACAATCTGTTTGAATGGTTGTAATGTGGAGTACGTTCACGTAATGTTACCTGCTTTCACCATCTTAGAAAAACAGCCTTATTATTCATTTCATGTTTGCTTTTTCATCATGTTTTGATAAACATGTCAGTGATGCTCAACAGTTGCATTTAAACACAGATTGTACATCCAGTATCTCACTGCATATCTATGTAATGTTTCACCTTGTCCAAAGAGTCTTTCTGTGGAAAGTCCAAACATTTTCAGAGGTTTTGGTAGTTAAAAGGACACTGTTTCAGTGTGGGGCTGTGGAGCTGGCCAGACGGGATACGACATGAAAAAAAACTTGCCTCATTCTTTTGTGAAAAGTTACTTAAAATAAAATGTGTTAGTTGGGCCCTTTCTAAGGGGCGTGATGATGTGTTCTGGCCGAGATAAACAAATTTCAGCTCACTGCAACTCTTCTCTGCTAGTGACAATTTATTTAGTATCTTCTGTGACTGAAGGTTAGTAGTGAATGGCAGTGACCCAGTGTCACAGTAGACACAAATAATTTTGTCTTGAAATAGTTGATTTTTTTTGGTTTTTTTTTTTTTGTCCTTCTCTGGATGCTCCCAGAGTCTTCTGATACTTCCTGCTGGACCTTCCAAATTGGAGTTATGCAGATCAGTTATTTTCAGTCAACTCCACCCAGCGAAATTCAACATCATCTTGCTAGGCTGCCGCTTTAAAAAAAGCATCTAGTGATTGGGTTTTCTTCTAAAAAATCAGTGGTCTCCTATGCTCACCTTGGCAGTGGCCACTTAGTGCGCTCTTGTACCTATTGCTTGAGATGTATCAGTGGGATAAAAACTTGTGACGTTAGCTGATAAAAGACTTCATTGCATCTTCATAATGTATTTGCTGTGTCCTGCATGTATATCAAGCTGATAGTAACTGAGGGATTTACCTCCATTCATGATGAAGTAGTGCTGCTTACAAGAGCTTAGGTGTAGGATTCTTTGCCGGAAGCTGAATATTTTTTTTTATTTCATTTTATTTTATTTTACCAGAGTTTGTCTTGTTTGCCTGTCATCTCTGGAGGTCTATAGAATTGAGCTGGCCACCCTTCCTTTGTGATGGTTGTGAAAAATTTGACTCTGATAGTTAGTTTTCCTGATTCCTGAAGAGAACGTTTACACTCATAGTTCCTTTGAAACAGCATTTTTGTGTGCTGTATTCTAAAAATGAAATCATAGAGTAAAACAGGGATTTGAGGATTGGGTGGAGGTGGAAAATCAGGATTTCAGGTGAAAACGACTGTATCTGTGATCCTGACATCATCCTAATGTCAGTTGCTGTTGCTGTTACTTTTTTTAATCAGAGTTTTGTGATCACCTGTGGAGATGATACAGTTCAAATAGACTTGTGTTTGCCTAACCTACTGTAGTTAGTTAAATACTTGTCTGTAAATTCAATAAAATAGTTCTTCAGATACAATCAGGTATTGAGGGTAACTTCAGTAATGTAGTCAGCCTTAGAAGTAAAGATTTGCTGGCAACTTGCTGTTGAAGTCTGGCGCTAATTCATAAGGACTCCATCCATGCACAAACCTTTATTGTTATCCTATTTTTACCACTAAATGATGGTAAGGTCAGTTTCAGGCTTAACAGTGAGATTTCATTGAAAATTTGGGCGTTAGAAGGAACTCCAAAGTATTCTATGAAGGTTAGTTTTAATTATTTCCTTGTTCGTGTAACCCTTATGGAAAAGTATTAACAAAAGGCTGGATGGTTCATTTTTGTTTTCCTTAATCCTCAAGTGGCAGGTGCAAGCCTGAAGGAAAAAAGGTAAAAAACCAAGCTGAGCTGGCCTTTTGTGTCTATCAGAGCTTTCCTTGCTTTCTCATAAGACTAGGTTTGCTTGCTGCGAGGATAATTTGACTCACCTTTAGAAAATTAAAGGTCAGCTGAACTCGAGGAAGCCCCTGTTTTGCACTGACCTCCATAAAATGTCCCCAGCTCTTTCTTAACAATTACTCTCTATGAAATGGTAGGCTTTTCTTTTCCTGCCTCTGAATTCTAGGATTCCAGTGTTGCTCAATGAACTGCAAAAAATACTGGATAGATCCTATTTTAGTATTCTCTGTTGAGTCTTCCTACTGAATGTAAGGTGGATGGCTTTTAACTTTGAGCCGGTGTATGCCATATCGGTACATGTCCTATCTGCAGTGCAGCTAATGGTGATTTTATTTCTCTCCTGCTCCTTTTCGTTGTCCTTTTCTTGTTGCTTTTTTTCTTTGTCAGAAAGCTTGAAGTATTTTAGTATAAAAAAATTAATTTTGTCATCTGTATCACATAAGCACAAGTTAAAAATGAATTATTAAAAAAGAACGGAATTCCTTGTGACATTTTTTTCAAGTAAAATGTGTTTTAATAATGGTCTAAAGTAGCCAGAAATCAGTTATTCTCATGTACTTGCCAGTCAATGACAAAGGTGTTGTATGTTTTGCTGTCTGATTTTAATTATGGATTTTTATTATGAGTTTTACTAAAAAGCTTGTAGTGTGACATCAGACGGTGTAAATCAGTCTGATCACTGATGGCGTTTAACTGTCTTAGAATGTCTTTTAAGTGTGCATATGCTGGAAAACTCTCAGAAAAGAAATGATTAAGTTAGGCTGCTACGAGAGATTTCATGGCAAATTACATGAATGTTTATGTGAAATTGCCTGCTATCCCAAAGTGTGCGAGTGTGAGGGTATGCGTGCGCACGTGTGTGTTCTGGGGCCGATGAGCCTCTGGTAGGGAGCTTTGCAGAAGCTGCAAGTATTTTTAGTGGAAACGAAATCTCAGTTCAGTTCTGCAGCATGTGACTTCCTATTTCTGTAAGCTACTTCCAAGAGACTTCCTCTGTTAAATCGGCTTGTCTCTGGAGATTTGAGCTGGAGCTGGAGTGTAGTCTGCTTTGTCCTGTGCCTGTGGCAGAGTTTTCCCAGATTTTTCATTTGAGTGTTTTATTTTTCTTTCGTACTGTCTTCAGCATGCAAGGATCTCGTGGCTGCTACCCGTGATCGGAAGCTGAATACGTTTATACAAGTCTCAGTGGTACATCCAGCAGAGCACATTTTGACGAGGTATTCAAGCACTGAAATCGTGGAGGTGAGTGTCTTACTTATTCAATTAACATGTTATTTAATTGCCCTTTTTCTGTTGTTTCCTTGGAAAGTGAGTAAGAAACGAAACGATTTAGTGCACAGTCTTAGGTAAGGAAGCACACACTGGCTCTTAGCAAAGCGTACCTAAGAGCGCTCTGTAGTTCTTGGCATTGAACCAGGACAAACAGTAATGAACTTGCCTTTTCATGAAAGCTCTATTTTTTCCAAGCAAAAACTTACAGAATGCTCCAGTTTTTCAGACGTTGGTCTAAACTGAAACAGTGAATAGTTGCTCTCATGAAAGAGCAAGGCTATGTAAAAAAAGGTAAACTCAGAGTACAGCAAGTTTGGAAAGTACTTTTGAATTACCGAAGAACAGAGGCATGTTGTATAGTCAGTTACACTTTATGGTTTTCTTTTTTCTATAGGGAAGTTGATGTTTTTGCAGTGTGAAAAATATTAGCCTACTTGTATGATGAAGAGAAAGTATATGAACACACAGGCATGGCAGAAGTTACTATCTTATGTTGTGTATGTTATGTATTGGAGCAAAAGTCTGAGGCAGCTTTGCTCATTTTCATTTTGTACTGTAAGCATTAGCATCAATAACAACAAAAATCAATTAAACATAAAATTATTTAAATCTGAACAGTCAGTGTAGGTATATAGCATACTTATTCACTTGGCTGTTTACTGCAAAGATTCATTGAGAACAGAAAAGTCTTATTGTAGACACCTGAATTTACTTTACCAAAGGCTTGTTCTAACTGTTAAATACATAGAGAATATTTCATGAGCTCTTTCTGATCTTAAAGTTCGACCCAATTACTAACTTAAATTGCTATGGTTTCAACTACCAACCGTCCTGAAACTGCTTACTTGAATTATCTTGTATCTGATCAGGATGTTTCATTGCAGACAATCTGGAACATTGTTATGAAGTACATGTAATAGATGTTTGTTTTTTTAATACAAGTGTGTACATTTCCTAAGGCAATGTCTTGATATAGAACACGTTTGAGGGCATGAATAATTCTCTGAAATTGTTGTCAATTCTCTCAGCTTCCTTCATAGTCAAGCTCTGGGGGAGGAGGTGTCATGGGCGGAGAGAATTTCAGCAAGTGAAAGTATATATATATATATATAATGTGTATGTGTAAGTACATATATATAAGCATATTAATCATACTAAATCATAACAGAAAATTTAACAATGCTAGTCTGCTAAGTTTGGGAATTATGATGTTGTTATGGTTAAGAGTTAAGGAATTACAAAGCACAAAAACATTGTCTTAGTCCATTACTGTCTAAAGAGAGAAACTATAATCCCTGCAAAAAAAAAGTCAGTATCCTTAACCTAATATGAAGATTTTCTGTAGCATTTCCATAGACTTTTCATTATAATTTATCTAAGATATCTCAATATTTTTGGCTAAGTTCTTAGTTCATTTGAAGTGATGTGAAACCAAATACTTCACAAAAGCATCACAGGAGAAGGGAAGATATGTTTTACTACCGATCACTAGCCCAGATACCGATGCCTGCAGGCTGAACTGTTTGGCATGTTTATAGGCGGCTTCAGAAGCACTTAAATTCTTTTCTGGTATGACAGATTTTTAAGGTTGTGTGGTTTGTTACTCATTGCTTGTAGCACTGAGCTTTATACAGCAGAGAGAGATAGACAGCTAAGTTCTGCTAAAGAGACCGTGGCCTATGTGCCTGCACCCATAATGGTGTGCTACATGTTGCACAGCTGTTACCTTACTGAATATTTGTGTTGCACAGGGAACAAGAGATCCACTGTTTCTGACTGGTGTGACATTCCCACCGGAATACCCCATCTATGAAGAGACCAAAATAAAACTCACAGTCTATGATGTCAAAGATAAACCTCAAGACACGGTGAGCATTTTGGTTGTTTCGCTTAAGTCTTACTGAGAACTAAATTTCCACCATGCTGTTCTTCATCCTTTTTCAGCAGGCTTGCGGCTTAGAAAATTGAAATGAAGTAGAATTGGCTTTGCTCATACACGATATACTTTAAGTTATCATATTACAGAAAAGAGAGAGAACCATGCAGTTAAGATGGACCCTTTGCACTTGTTGGTTTGGTTACGTGAATCAGTGCAGATATTTCTGGAAAATGTGAGGTTACTCTCATGTACTTTCTGAAAGCAGAGAACGTAGGGAATAGGTTGGGATAGCAACGTAAGTAAGTTTTCAGAAATATTATTTTATATTGAAAAGATGTGGGAAATAGAGAGGGTTGGTTACGTTTTTCTTTTAAACACTTGCATAGTGATGCCTGCTACTCATCTCTGGTTTGTGTTGATTTTCAAGGACTCAAGGTCATGTCTGTCACAAAGGGCGAATTGTTTGGGCTTCAGTGTTGTGCATTTTTAGATACAGTGTCAGTTTCTTACACTGACAAATAGTTAATTCAGAAGATGTATGGAGATCACTAGGAATATGAGTGATTTAAGTGTCAGACAAAGGCCTTGAGTGCCATGTTATGTACTCCGGGTGATTTAGGACAGACATAAAGAGCTGTACGTTATGCAAGACCTATGGGAGTTGTGTTTTTCTTCTGTGACAGATAGGTTTCACTTAGGTATTGAAAACAGACCTTGAAACCTGTCTTCAATTAGCCAAATTGCTCTTTGTGTATCTGTAATTGGCTCCCGATGTGATTGAAGACCATAGAAGCTAATGTCATGATTGTATGTGCGTTCATTATCCGTAAGAAGGAAATTAAAGCCATAACATGTAACTTATATCTTTGAACTACTTACGTGAGTAGAGTTAGGTTAGAAGTTGATGCGTTTGCTTAGATGTTTAGATCTTCATTAGTAAATACATTGGTTCTGTCTCCCCACTGTGCTCTCTAATGGGAATTTGTGAAGCATTTTTGTCTACGGAATATGGATTTCTTTCTGCTTATAGTAAGAGTTGATTTTGTTTCTTAAAAAGTAACTGGGAAAGGGAATGTGCACACTTCAGAATTAGTATGTTTTAATTTTTTGTTATGACTTACAGGGCTTAAAATCGTAACTGCTTTTTCTTCAATGTTGCAGATATAATCCCTTGCGATTTATAACCTATTGTGACAGACAGCACGATGGGTAAAAATATCCTATTTGTAAGGAGAGAAAAGTGAACTAGATTCGTAGACCTATTCCTCTAGTTTTCTTTTAGTTAGATCTTGAAATCCATATAGTACTTCTACAGAAAAAATTGCATATGAAAGATCTAGCCTAGAGAATGAATATAATTTAGAAACATTGAAGAACTTTTTATAACTGTTCCGTGTAATTAAGTACAGGATTAGAGTATATCCAAGACAATCACATCAATGTAGCTTATAAGTCTGCGGAGACTTAATATTTTCTATTTAAATTAGGAAATGTTAATGCCACCTGTTATATGTGCACTTAGCCTTGTTTTAATATATTACCATTTTAAAACTGGCTATTGGTAAGAAAAAAACAAGATGTAAGATGGAATTTGAGGTATGTTGCATGCAACGTGTGAATGACCGTGGGCCATCCGGGTTGATATTTCATGTGTGACAATATTTAGACTTCATACTCAGTTTTTGGAATATCAGCCAGGATACAAGTAATGCTGTGACTTTCTTTGCTATAGTTTGAAGCTGTTGTACTTTCCTGTTAGTTCAGGTGATGTTTTTGAGTCGGGAGATAGATCTGGATTCCTAAAAGTCAACTTTAGTCAACTAAAAGTCTACTTTGAAGTGAGGTGGCTTGATAGCATTACCAGCGTAGCTGCAGCACTACGTACCTCAATGCTTGTTTCATGATTCAAGTAGTGAGATGCATCCCTTCGGCAGTGAGCTGTTCCAAGAGTTGTGGTTTTACTGTGGGGATTTTCGAGGCTACAATGAAGATGGCTTCTGTAGATCATAAAAGCTGCTGTGACGGTTCATGACTGCAACATATGTATCCCTGCAATCTCTCCAAACGTGAGCACAAGTAATATATGTGGTGGGATGAAGGAGAAACCAAGGTTTTTGAGTCTTCTGTACTATGTTAGTCTCTTCTTCCAGACTAGACAGATTTGCTGCCAGCTCATGCAAGTGATCCATTTATGGCAGAATAAACCTTGGATGTGGCTGCTGAATATGTTGTAGGAATTGGTCAAAAAGCCACAGTAAAAAGACTGTCACAATGTCAAGGCTATTTGACTTGTACTTGAGTCAACCATTTCAAAGTAACTGGTATCACTCATCACTCTGCAGTTCAGAAATACACTTGTTTAAGAAGTGAATTGTGAGCATTAATTAAACTTCAGCAGGGTGTTACTGCCCCAAACAGAGAATTGTTAGGACGCTGCCTTACTTTTAAAGCAATTGGATCTTTCCTGTGCAGTGAAAATAATTGGATGCTGCTCAGCTTGTGCAGGCAGGTTATAATGATGAAGTGAAAAGGAATGCTCCCCAATGAGAAACAACCAGAATATTTTTTTGGCAGTGCTCATATGCTGTTTATGCTGCTCTTCTAAGAAAGACTTTAAAATAACCTTCTTTCTGTCTGTCATTTAACTTGCATTTATATGAGAAGAGCAGTTTAATTATGCTTAAGTGCTGTGCAGCTGGTATCACATTTACTGTGCTTGACACGCTGGATGTTCTACTGCACTTTTTGTGTTTTATGCATGTCTGTCTGATATTCTTGGTAATTATATCTTGGCTGTATCAGGTTTTCTGTAGTTGTGACTCTTAGTAGAAAGAAATAGAAATTTTATTATTTTGGCCAGCCTTCCTAGCTAATGGTGATTAGTTACTATGTAACTAAGTAATCATGTAAATAGAAATTTCTAATAGAGATCATGCTATTCTTACTTTGATATACCTAAAATCAAGAAGTTAATAGCAATCATAAAGTATAATGTAAATACATCCAGTCAAGCCAAGCGTACAAAACGGTGAGTAGTGTCATCTTCTGAAAAATGTACAGTGACATCTGTTTCTACATCAGAAAGATCTTCTCTCCATCCTGCCATGGGCAAGATTGTTTTTCTGGCTGTCTTCAGGAATTTCTAATACTTGAGTTTTGTCTTAATGCTTGGGCTGCGCCTGTTCTTTAAACCATTGTCCAGGAAAACTGGAATTAGAGGCTCAGATGCTGCTTGAAATATCACCATTGTGTGACTGTTGCACAGGCGTGCTATTCTTAGCTTTTCTATAAGTGTGCAGGTTTGTCCAGTTCAGTCTGTCAAGTTGTATGTCAATGCTGAGAAGGATTTGTTCACTTGAAAAATACTGCATAGCAGAAGTCAGGTAACACTCCTGCATGGTGGATCTGAAGAAGAGTAAAAAAATGGATGAGCTCTTTTTATATTAAGAGGAGAGAATGCCTGGTGACTGATTTGGGAGGCAGCAGTCTTTCATTCTGTGCTGCAAATATGTACGATTGTGTCTTATAGAACTCAAGAACTATTAAGGTCAGAAAAGACCTCTGAGGTCATCTGGTTGAACTATCGACCCATCACCACAATGCCCACCAACCACATCCCAAAGGGCCACATGGACGCACACAAACACCTTCAGGCACAGGGGGCAGCCTGTTCCTCTACTTGATCACTCTTTCTGCAAAAACATTTTCCCAAAATATATCCAACCTGAATAATCTGACTAATTCTTGTTAGAACAATAGAAGGGTCTTGCAGCAAGCGTTCCGTGCTTTTTTTGTGTAGAACACTATTTGTAGGCAAGCACTGTAGCATTTATGATTTTAATTTGCTTGTTTTTTTAACAATTCTAGTGTTTCCACATCTGCATCTGATTTGATCTGATTTAATGCAGTTACTGACACAGCTTAATATCTCAATATGTGGATTTTAGAGTGGAGTTGAAAATTTTTTAGTCGTACACATTGGAATTGTTGATGCATTTGCAGTGAGGTCTCAAGGTATGTACTGATGCAATGTTCTGGTGTGATGTGCAGTGATTCGAACTGCCTCTTGTCGATGCAGACATGGAGAAGCTGTGGAAGCAGGAGATAGAAGCCTTGTGACAAGTATGTGTGTCTGCTCTGTGCAGCATTACTTGCAAATTCCGTTTTTCTTTAGGAGGAAATAGAATCCAGAAGCATGATGATAATAAGCTTTAAATTGTATTGTATCGAATTTCATGAGACTTTGCAGATGATACTGGCAGGTTGATGCAGTCTCCTTTGGGTAGGTATAATTGCTGGAATCCATGGGATATTCCACATATAAACAGCAACTCTGATAACATAGTCTTGGATGTATGTGTTTCTTGGTACTGCAAGTAACCATTTTAAAGAAGAATTGCACTGGGTTAAGTGGAAAATGAAGACTTGGAAGAAGAGGCATTTTGAGTTGAATTTTAAGCCAAATCTGAAGTGACACTGTTACAAGTTCCTTCGTGGGAATTGATTTGTATGACAGAACCACCACACTGCTTGGAGCGGTTTGCCATTTGTGCTGAAGAGGCCGATGGCTTGAATATTAGTAAGATACTGTCGAGCACTATGTGAAATGCATTAGCAGGGTGTATGGGAACTGCTGAGTCAGGGCCCGAACCTCTGATTGATCACCTGAGGTGAGCACGGAGTCAGCCAGAGGAGCACAGGTGAAGGCAATTGACCTGTGTGCTGCAAGGGGTGGAGCCTGGCTGCACCCCTCTTGGACCTATTAAAGAGTTGACTACCAGTGGAGAAGGATCTCTTTGGGAGATTGCTTCTGTTGGTGTTTTGTGAGTGAGCCCAAGACAGGGGTAAGCCTTCTATTTATTCTCTTTTGTTATCTTCGTCTGCTTTGCCTAACTCTTGTTTATTTTGTGATTATAGCATTCTAATATTCTTTGATGACACACAGGGATAAATGTGAAAGCTTAAACACCACCTACTTGCATGCTGCCT